ACGTCACCTTGTCTTGTTTTCTTGTAGGTTACTCGTGAAGAAATAACGTCTCCAAATTGTGCCACTGTGTGTTACAAGCCTCTGCTTTTTACAATAACAAGGTTTTTTTTATAAATATATAACCCACTTAGAGACAATAATCTGGGGATTAGGCATGGCTTGGGATGCCAGCCTTGTGTCTGTTAAGTGGCCTCATTTGAGAACCATTTTTTTCGGTGACACACTATTCCTGATTCACATGGGCGCAAGCCTCCTACTGTCCTGGTTGGACAGAATCCAGGACAAGGAGCTTCTCTCTCTCTCTCTCTCTCTCTAGCCCTTTCTCGCTCACTCTCTCTGAACAAATAAAAGTTATTTGTTCAGAGAAGAGTAGAGAAGGGGGTTTCTCTCTCTGTCTCTCTTTCTTTCTCGATCGGTGTCCTTGCCAACAATACCCCCACCCCACCGATAAAATCAGTCATTCCCTTCAAGGCTGTTTGTGGGATGTCGCTGTATGTAAATTGGCTGCTGCATTCAGCTACACAAACGCACAGTCACTACACTCAGCAGTGATTACTGTGAGATGTTCTGATGTTATACCCACCGTTAGGTTGTGTTTTTTCTTGTTCCTCAAAGGAGGTGCCAGGACATCCTGAGGTCTATCAGAGATTGGGATTGGAAGCTGGGACCATGTTCATGGCTGGAACACAAATGGGAGATGGGCTGAAGTATGGGCTCAGCACTGAAATCAATAGGTTACCATGTATGTTACTGTGTTAACTGTGCCACAACAACAACAACAAAATTACATTTGTATTGCGCCTTTTACATCGGGAGGACGTCCCAAGGCGCTGGACAGACAGTTGTTAGTCAATTGGCGGATCTCTTTCCTGGAGGTAAATAATCCCCTAAAAAAGTATGCCTTCCTCTCTCAGTCTTTCCACAAATTTTTTTGAGAAAAAAATGTAATCACTCAATCCACGGCTGTCTGTGGGGACACCGCTGCGCACAATTGGCTGCTGCGTTTCGCCACAAAATACACAGTCAATTCACTTTACAGCGAATCCTGTGAAGCGCTTTGAGACGTCTCAACGACGTGATGAGGCGCTGTATCAAATGCCGGGATTATTATTATTATAACTATGATACTGTGTTAAGTATGTTACCATGTTTAGTGTGTTACCATATTAAGTATGTGACCGTGTTTAATTTGTTACCATGTTAAGTGTATCGCTGTGTTACCGTGTTCAGTATGTGGCCATGTTAAGTGTGTTATCATGGTTAGTGAGTTATCATGGTGTTGCCATGTTTAGTGAGTTACCATGTTTAGTGTGTTACCATGTTTAGTGAGTTACCATGTTTAGTGTGTTACCATGTTCAGTGTGTTACCATGTTCAGTGTGTTACCATGTTAAGTGTATCGCTGTGTTACCGTGTTCAGTATGTGGCCATGTTAAGTGTGTTATCATGGTTAGTGAGTTATCATGGTGTTGCCATGTTTAGTGAGTTACCATGTTTAGTGTGTTACCATGTTCAGTGTGTTACCATGTTCAGTGTGTTACCATGTTAAGTGTATCGCTGTGTTTCCGTGTTCAGTATGTGGCCATGTTAAGTGTGTTGCGGTGCAGTAACAGTGACAGCTACAGACTGCTACAATTTGGAAGAAGTTATAGGAAGCAATTTTTAAAATGAGATAAACACAGTAATTTGTTTTGTTTATACAGCATGCAACGAGGCACGAGGTAATTCCCTGGCTAATCCCCGAGGAGCTTTAGCTGGGGCTGCTACACACGGCTTCAAACCAGCCTCCTGCTCCCAGGTCTGCAAGCAATTTCACTCAATCCCCCGCTCCGAGCTTCCCGTTTCCAATCACATCTCAGAGCTCTTACTGCCATGTTTCACTTGCGAGGACGGGAGCGCAGAGAGCATCCCCTTTGGGTGGGAGAGCAGCCCAGGTCTCCTCTCGCTGACGGCTACCGCACAAGGAACCATTAACCTTCTCTGATCTGATTCACTGAGTAAGAACCGCACCGGACACAGTAACCGCATCAGACTATCAGCTTGGGTCCTGATGTGGCTTTAACCCCCATGTCAGGGACTTTGTATATTCTGCGAGGCGCTTTGACACGTCTCGAAGACGTGATAAGGCGCTATATCAAATGCAAGGATTATTAATATTATTATTATTAACTACAATGTCTAGGCTGTCGCTCCAGCCCAGTGCTGGGAGATCAATGTATTGTCAGAGGCCCCATCCTTCAGTTGGGACATTAAACCAAGGTCCTGTATGGCTGATCTGCGAACGTTAAAGATCTTGCGACACAACATGAAAAAGAGAAGGGAGTTTCTCCTGGAGTCCCAGTCAACAACCGCCCCTCCCCCACCCCATCCGCCGATAAATCGGTCAATCACCCCACGGCTGTTTGTGGGACTTTACCATGTGCAAAATGGCTGCTACGTTAGTACTCACTGGATACCACAGTAATTGCTTTGAGACGTTTCGAGGGAACAAGTGCCACGAAAGTCCCACCTCTCTACACGTTGCTAATTTTGATTTTAGTCGAGCGTTAGTCAAGTCGATCTTTTTATAAAATAATAAAAGTCAGATTCAATCTGCTGCACTTTGCTGGAGTTTTCTCCAGAAGGAGAGCGGGGAGTTTGGTGGGAGTGAAAAGCAAATCTATTAATACGGCGTCCAGGTTTAAAATAGAAGTCAGGTCTCAGGAGAGCGTCTCTCTGAAGAGCCCACTTCAGAACTTAGCCCAGTTCTTACCAACTCCCTCTATTCCTGTAACTTGTTCAAAGGCCCCATTGTCAAAGCAAAGAGCGAAAAAACTTCCACATTTCCAAATCGTGCAGAGAGAGGGTCTGTCCGGATCCCAGAAGTGGAATCCTGCAGCTCAGTGGCTAGAGCACTCGCCTCGCAATCGAGGACCTGGGTTCGATTCCCAGGCAGGACAAAACATCAGGCAAGTTTCCTTACTCCAAACGCCTCTGTGTACCTCGCAGTAAATAGGAACCCTGTTGTTAGTCGATTCGCGGATCGCTTTTCCGGGGGTAATAATTCCTTCAAAAACAAAAATGATTAATAAAAAAAATTAATTTGGTCACTCAATCCATGACTGTATGGGGGACACGGCTGTGTGCAATTGGCTGCCACGTTTCTCCCACAAAATACATTCAATTCACTTTACAGTGTATTCTGTGAAGTGCTTTGAGAAGTGATAAGGCACTACATCAAATGCAAAGATTATTATTAATCCTTGGCTATCCCAGGCAGGAGAGAGAGGCTGAAGGGATCGTAGAAGGATGTCTCAAAGCACGGGGAGACTTGTTGGAAGGCAAGGGAGGAAGGGAGGGAGGGGGAGGGGATAAGTAAACAAACTGAGATTTCCCCATGTGGGGATGAATGAATGAATGAATGAACGAAGGAAGGAGGGTGTGTAACCCAAGCTCTAAGCAGCTGCCTGTTGAGATTGTTTTGGCAGTAGCTGTGATGTTTGGCAACGAGTCCTGCAGGAAAGGGCCTGAAATTGAAAGACTGAAGGTCCTGTGTCACACTCTGTCATTTTACATTAAGTTATGCAATGTGAAGTGCTCTGCTAATTTTCTCCTAGTTACGCTGGGAGGCTGAGGGCATAATGAGGAGGAAACCATAATTGGGCCAAGCTGTTGATTGGGATAATGACTGCTGTCTGTACTAACGAACCCAACCTTGTTTGATCAAATGCCTACTCAACCGTGACTGCTCAGCAGCGCAAAAGGCCCCTTAGAAACCTTTCCAAACAACTACTCTAACCTCCCCCTGACCTACTGACCTACACCAGCCAGATGCTGACCTTACACAACAAGCCTCGTCTGGACTCCAACCCAGCAAACTTTGAGCCTTCTCTCGCTCTCTCTCCCCTCTCTCTCTCTCTCGCTCTTTCTTTTGTTCACTCCGAGACCGTCTGGATTAACTGTTACTGGATGAGAAGTGAGGGTTTTGCCACCTCTGGCATTGCTCTTCCTCTTCACCAGCTACCGTATTACACCCAATAGAGGAGCTTGGGCTGGCCTTTGGGCAAGGCTGGAGCATTGCTGATTTCTATCAGTCTGGCTCAGTCAGGAACCTCTTGTCATTGGGTTGGAGGCAGGGCTGGCTGGCTTGCTGGCTGGAATAGATGGCTGGGTGGCCGGAGGGGGCTATCTCCCAGATACCATTTTTACAGTAACTTTTCACATTGAAATGTCTCCAATTTTACAGGAAATTGTTGTCAAGTTGGAGATATTTCAATGTGGAAAGCTACTGTGACGTCGCGTAGCTCAGTGGTTAGAGCACTCGCCTCGCAAGCCAGATAACCCGGGTTCAATTCCCGGCAGGGCGAAAGCAAGTTTCCTTACTCCACACACATGCCTCTGTTTACCAGCAGTGAGTAGGAACTCAGTTGTTAGTCGATTCTTGGATCGCTTTCCGTGGTAATAATCCCTCCCCCCAAAAAATTGGTTCACTCAATCCACAACTGTTTGTGGGACACTACTGCGCGCAATTGGCTGCCAAGTTTCAGCCACAAACTACACAGTGAATTCCTTCCCCGGGGGAGAAACCCACCCTGCGCTTTTTCCATTGCTCCAACAAGAGCTTCAACGTCAATCTGAGGACCCCCACGATCAGCACACGAGACGTTGACAGGGCAGCATCCTGGCCTCATTCCATCGCCAAGCGTTGCCAGTGGAGCTCAGGCCGGCTTCCTATTGCCACGTGTCTCTCCTTCTTGGTTGCTGAGGGTTAGCCACCCTGATATAATTGGATGCAGGAGGCTAGGGGGGAAAGCAATGTTAACAGGCTGGCTTGTGTTGTCTGAGGGCTCACAGTGATCCCAGCAGGTGTAGCACACACTAAGTGAAACCAGCAAAGTGCCTTGTCATGGATTTCACATGGTCTCCCTGTGTTGCAGATGCAGTCTGAACGCATGAACTGTACGTTCTTTGTCTGTGCGCACACACACACATACAGAGGAGACAACCGCGAGGCAGATGTCTGTGAGACGGCGAGTGTGATGGTTTCAATTTGCCGGAGAGACATGTGAGTCTCCGCTGAAGTCCAGATTTCTGTGAAATCCAAACTCAGCTTCTCCTGTTTTTGTTGACTTAACCCTTCGGTGACTTTGCTGTGCCGCAGATGAAAAGGTGCAGCTGGCCTGAGCTCTCATCTTACACTCGCTCCCGCATGGCTCACTCGCACACACACTCTCACTGACTGACTGACTGGCCAAACCAGCTCGTCAAATTCCAAGCCAGTGAGATAGACGGGGAGTGTGGGGATGGGGGAGGGGGGACTGGGAAGAGCGATATTAGCTTTTTAAAAGGCAATTGGACAAATATTTCTGGGTTTCTTGGAGGAGAAGTACACTTTCCTTCCTTGGAAATGCCGGCCTTCAGATGAGATGTTAAACCTCAGTCCCCGTCCGTGCTCTGTCAGACGTTAAAGATCCCTTGGCGCTGGTTGAAAAGAGAAGGAAGGTTCTCTCTTGCCATGTCCTGGCCGAGAATCCTCCAGTTAAACTGGGCATTAGTTTACTGTTTGTAGGACGTGGCTGTGTGAAAATCGTCTGCCACATTCCCCCACAAACCTCACAGTGACTGCACTTGACAATAAATCCTATGAAGCGCTTTAATAAAACATCCTCCCAATGTGAAAGGCGTGGTATGGACAGTCAAGATTGTTATTGTTTGTAGATAATCTCAGTCTCCAGCTCTCTCTCTCTCTCTCTCTTCTGCCACCAGACCCCTCGGCTGGGGAGGGAACTCAGTTCTGCCCTGAATGGCGGTCTTGACGGTGCTGTAAGGAGCTGCGTCAAATGCAAATAGTCAACGTCTTGAGGAACAGAATGAAAAGATTGGAAGAAAAATGGACAGAAAAATAAAAGTGTCCATCAAACGTTGGGGTTTGTGCACAGCGGGGAGAGGCACAGCTGTTTTGGACGAGCGCTGTTATCTGCCATGACCCTGGGAGGTAGCGCGAGACAGGTTTGGCTCCCTGTAAACAAACAATGGCTGCCCAACGTGAGTATATCATACTCTTCAGGGCTTGTTGCTACTGTGTAAATCACTTCCGGCTCCTTCACACGCACCCCCAGCCCCAACCCCCCACCCCACCCACCCAGTCCCAGGAAAGGAAAAAAAACACTCTCAAGATTTCATGCGTCTCATTACGTTGGAAACATCTCAAAGCGCTTTGAGGCAATGACACCCAGAGTAGTGACTGTTGTTGTAGGCAAACGTGTAGTCATTCTGCATCAGCAACTGTTTGGGACACGACATGTCAATAATAATTATAATAATACTTTGATCACTCAATGCACGGCTGTTTGTGGGACGCTGGTGTGCGCAATTGGCTGCCGTGTTTTACCCTGTAAAATGCACACTTTACAGTATAATCTGTGAAGCGCTTTGAGACGTCTCAACGATGTGATAAGGTGCTGTATCAAATGCAAGGATTAATATTATTACCTTCTCCTCGCCTCCCCCACCCACCTTCAATCGACGTATGAGTCCCCACTCCCCAACAACTCCTCCATGTTGGCATTTTCCTCCCCCCTCTCTCCCCCCCACCAGAAGGAAAGAGTTAATCGCTGTTTTTTCTTGGAGTGTAAGGGAGAGAGGGGTGTTTGGTGCAGGCAATGCTTTGAGTGGATAATGAGTATGTAGGTTTAATCTCAGGCTCCTGGGGGAGCGAGCTCTCTTGCTTTTTCACAGTGGTGTAAAATGCCAGGCTCTTTCTCTTTTCATGCGCTAATTTAAGAACTGCCTTTGATGATTCCTGAGCAGAGCTTGTGTTTGAGATACCTAGATACAAGGATTAGTCAGCTTTTGTGATGTAAACCCCACTTCACGCAACTTTTCCAGGTTTCCAGCCAGTAAATCAAGGGAAGACGGTAATTGAAGAAAGATGATAAGGGTTTCTGAACCTGTTTACTCCTTTGGCAGCTAAAACCATGCTTAATCTAATATGCATTTCAAAGCAAACAGGACACAGTTCATTAAATAAGGTCTCGCTGATAGATTACAGTGTTGTTTTAATGTATAATACCAGTTCCTAAATCCTTTATCCTTTAGTGAGGACCTGGCCAATGCAAGCATTGTCGGACAGCAAATGGATTAACAGGCATTCGACCCGGTGACAAGGAGTTGGTACCGATTGATTGAGAGTCAAGCTAAATACTTTGGTGACTCCAGCACTAACCAGCCATTCAGCCACTGAGCTCCAGCTTTGGGTGATCTGGAAGAGCCCGAGTGGGTTGGAATCAAACCCAATTTATGCCATGTGTCAGCCTGGCGTAGTGGGTAACACTCTCTCCTCGGAGTCAGAAGGTTGTGGGTTTAAGCCTCCACATCAGGACATGGAATCACATAGTCTAACCTGACGCTCAAATGCAGTGCTGGGGACTAAGGTGTTGTCGGAGACGCCATCCTTCGGATGAGATATTAAACCAAGGTCCCGTCTGTCTGTGTAGGAGGGTGAAGGTGAATTAGATGGACCTTGGTTTTCTGTCGCTTGGCAGATCCCTCATGAGCTGCTCGACTGAGAGTGTCGGGCAGTAATACTTTGGGAATGAAAGATGCCACGGGACAGAAGGGTGAAGTGAATGAAATCTTTTGCACTCTCCACCCATGCCCCCCACACCCGCATCCCCTCCCCCCAGTAACAGGGAGATGAAACTCTCATCATCATCATCATCATCATCACTAAAGGACAAAACTGCAAGAGCGAGAGAGAAACGACCTGTCAGGAGCAGACAGCTGGTGATTAGGGCTCTAACTGATCATTCTGCCTCTGACAGCGAACCGGCTATTATCTGACTTGAATCAAACGCATTCAAAGCCACGTCTAGACCTCCGACATGAAAGCAAATGTCAGACGGTGGCAGCTGACAAACTCATGAGCAGTCTTTATTTTGTTCGGAAGGAGGGCTGACAAACAAGCTCGCTCCGAGACACAGCGAGCGGCACGCGAGATAGCGACACCATGCATCACACTCGCATTCTGTGTGGTTTAACAGCTGGAACAGAGAGTGGCAACTCTTCCAGGCCCCTGGATAAGTTTGATACAGCATCGCATCACGTCAAGAGGACGTCTCGAAGCGCTGCACGGGATTCGCCGTAAAGCGTAGTGACTGTGTGTTTTGCAAAGGCAAACGCGGCAGCTAATTTGAGCACAGCGACGTCTCACAAACAGCCGTGACCGATGTTACCTGGGAGGATTGTCGGCCAGGACAATCTTTTCCAACAGCACCGCAGGATCTTTAACGTCCACTTGAACAGGGCACAGATGGGGAGTGAGGTTTGACGTCTCAACAACAACAACATTACATTTGTATAGCACATTTCACGTCGGGAGGACGTCCCGAGTTCCTGGTCCTGTTGTAGTTTAAAACTTCACTCACCCCGAAAAAAGACAAAGAAATTAAAAGAAACAGATATAAACATCCCCAAAAAACAAGTCCTCATTAATCTCCGTGAGGAGTTATTATTTATGTATATATATATATATCAAGGCGATATTCCCCTTGTAACGCAGCTGAGTTTATTTTCCGCCGTGTGTTGGGCAGAAATGAATGGTGTTGGGAAGATAAAGTGACAAAATGGAGCCAGCGAAGGTAAATATAGTGTATGGGCATTGCTGAGGCCGAGCCTGTGAGGGATGTCGAGCACCACAGGAGCACAATGTGCAGTGCAGCAGCACAACCATCAGCCATTAATAACAACTGGCACAGGTCTGGACTCAGAGTCAGTCCATGGCCTCCTTTGGTGCTCAACATTATTCCCACGCTCCGAGATTTGGGAAAAGTTCCCCTCTTCCTCTTCGAGCCGGGGGAGGGGTGGGGCACAGCGGGGGAGGTGGGGAGGAGAGGGGGAAACCCTGCTTTCTACCCCTCTCTCTAGCTCCCAGTTAATTGGGTCCAAATTGTGACCATCCCGCAAACTGAAAGCTGTTTCGTTGTCAGAGAATCCCAAGCCAGGAAGATCGATAGGACGTTAAACCGAGCTCACGTCTGCGCCTGTTCAGAGGGACATCAAAGGTCCTGCAACACTACTGAAAAAGAGAGGTGAGTATCCTGGTGTCCTGGTCGCCAATCCCCCCCCAGAGATAATCGGTCACTCACTTCATGGCTGTTTGCGGGACTTTGCTGCACACAAGTTGGCTGCCGCGATCCCCCACAACATATACTGTCACTGCACTATTATTATTAATAATATTATTAAATCCTCTGTTGTTCCTCTCAGCTGACTCAGCGCAGACCAGGAGTCAAAGCACCTTTAAACCATCACAGTTCTCACATGCACATCACACTGAGGACCAATGCAACACCTTCAATCAGATTTTTGTTGATGGAAATGTAATTGTCCGTGTTACTGGATCATCCCAAATAAACACAGGATCAACCACCCCCTTCCCTCTCCCCCTCCCCTGCACACGCACAGGAATACATTGGGCGTCAATTGGCAACTCCATAGAATTGGCACCTACAAAGCAACAGCCCCATTAACTCAATCTCCATTATCTGTTGCCGTGTGTAATTGACTGCAGTGAGTCCTGCAGTCAGTCAGTGAGCAATGAAATTGGTGTTCACACCCATGCAATAAAACTGACTCGGCAGGAAATAGCGTCAAAGCCCCATCGACTGGCCTGGCCGTGACCTCTTCAGCTATTCACTAGATACCATCAGCTACTGCACCCTGAAGCTTTGGAACTCCCTCTCCCCCAATCCCACTGCCTTGCCCCCTCCTTCCCCTCTTTTAGCTCTTGACTGAAGACCTTGCTCTTCGACGGTGCTGACGGTCACCTCCTCCCTCCCCTCCCTTGCCCCGGCTTGACATCAGGCTCCACTGATGAAGCGTTCCGAGAAGCTACCTCGTGTGAAGGGCGCGGAGTAAATGCAAGTTGTTGCTGTAGATTCATTCAGAGGGACAACTGAATACACACCTGAGCTGTAACAACGACGACAACTTACATTTATAAATTGTCCTTCACGCGAGGCAGAGTATCACAGCTGAGATGCTCAATAATAGTTACTCAAGAATGTCAGGAACTCTCCCCTTCACGCAATAAACCCCTTCACGCCCTCCTCTCTCTCTCTCTACTAGACCCAACATGTTGAGCCTTTATCAATACAGAGCCTTATCACGTCTTCGAGATGTCTCAAAGCGCTTCACAGGATACACTGTAAAGTGTAGTGACTGTGGATTTTGTGGGTGGAAAATAACCCGAGGGTGATTAAAACCGGCAAACAGTACAGCCACACCTTTCCGTTATTCCACCAGAGTTTCCTTCAGCGAGTCCGAGACCAGAAAAGCAGATGAATGTGTGGACGTACAGCATCAGAGGATAATAAATCCCACTGTGCGGTGCTGATGGCAGCCCAGGGGAGACCTGCAGTTAAACAGGCAATCTCCCCGTCTGTGACGTGGTTTAAGTGGAGCCTGTGATGGAGCAGCGGGAGGCAAACAATTATGTGGAGAATAGAGAGCTGCCGCTGACGGCTGAGATACTTACACACTTACTCTGACTGCCATGTGGTAAAGTGTTCCCATGGGGTATGGGAGAGCTACCCCCTTACCCGCCCATCCCCTCCCCACAGCATCGCCCTGAGCTAGCTCCACACCCACCCACCCCCCACCCCCCGATTTTCTCTAGTTCCATACTTTTCAGATCGTAATCACAATGCAGTAGTTATTATTGTTATTATTAGTGTTATAATTATCATCTAGAAGTCTCCCATTGCTCCTGGTTTAAAACCCAATCTTTGCAGCGTCCCAGCTCTCTGTGTTTCCTCTGTTAATTGCTTTGCACTCGTTGCTTATTTTTACTTATTTTTACTACAAACAATCCATCGCAAGTGCGTTTGCCTTGTTTAAAGCATCGGATTTCTCGTGAAATCGTTTCAAAACTAACAGAGCTCTGCGCGGCCGGGAGGTGTTTACATCGATGGCATCGCAAAAATCCCAAACAGCCAGGAATGCCAAAGTAGGGTTTTTTGGCAGTAAAAAAAAACGAACACAAAACGCAGAACGTTAACTCACTGATGATTGCTGGGCGGACGTCGTTGAGTGACACAGCTTTGGGATTCGGGTCAAAAAGGGGCAGAAAAGATCCCTCGCCACGATTGGGAGGTGGAGGGTGTCAACAACAACAACTTATTGGTAGAGCTTTTATATAGCGCCCTTCACGTGGGGTAGAGTCCCAACGTGTTTCAATCCTCCCCCGGGTAGCGTTCCTAGAGCGTTTTACAGTGGCAGAGCATGGTGCTGAGCCGGGGGAGGTGACCGTAGGCGCGGTCGAAGAGGAAGGTCCTGGAGACATTAAACTGGACAAATTCCACCCTTAAAAAATACACAGTCACTTTATTTTACAGCAAATCCAGTGAAGTGCTTTGTGACATCTCGATGGAATGAGTTGCTGTATTAAATGCAAGGACTATTATTATTATTATTATGATTGCTTTGAGACGTCTAGAAGACGTGAAAAGCGCTATGTCAAATGCAAGGATTATTTATTATTTATTTATTATTGTTATTATAGATGGTTACCTTGACTGGAAAAGGATCCCTATTTCATACTGTCGTCTCCACAACACAACACGTCAACAAAAGGGAGAAGGTTGTAGGCAAACAATAAATAATGAACCACGACTGGTGGTTTTGTTGACGACTGGTGAACATTGTGGACACTACAATGGGAAGAAAAACCCTATCCCGATCCAAGGTAACCATTTCTCCAGCGAATGCCTGGCAGAATGTGAACAGACCCCACTCCATTCTCCTGAGGCCTCAAAGGCAACAAGCACAAATATAACCAAGGAGACTGACTCAGTTATACCAGCACCGTTATATAACAGGAGCTGTGTAACAAGTGCCACACACACACACACTCACTCACTCATCCTCTCACACACACACACTCACCCTCACACACACTCACTCACTCACCCTCATACACACACACACCCTCAGGCACAGACACTCGGTCATGCACGAAACGAAATACACAGTCACTGCATTTTATAGCCAGATCCTGCAAAGCGCTTTGAGACGTCCTCTGCTTGAAAGGCGTTGTATTAAACGCGAAGATTACTGTTATTATTATTACTAATAAATATTGAGTAGCGTTGGAGCAGAGTCGAGAGATAACACTGTCAGCTCAAAGCCATGATGTGGGTCATGAAATCAGAGCAATATTAGGAGTCAGGATGAAGAACAGAGGGATGGACT